GAAACAGAAATGCAGGCTGGAGCGTCGCTGGGGGAAGGCACTCGGATGGCTCTCCTGCCTGGGTCCCCTTGTGCCAGGATGCAGGTGAATGCATGTGGCAGCTTTGCTGCAGGTCAATGAAGTCATCAATCAGAAAACAGATTTCCTCAGCTCTGCTGTTCAGAAAACTCACTGGTTAACAATCTAGGACTCCCAACTTTTTAATTGCACAAGTCAGTCATAAGCTTAGGGTCAATATTTCTTTTGCCGAAGTATTTTTCTCCAATGTTTTTAACTAATATGCGCAAACACAACTTTTTTTGTTATTGTTGGTACTCTGACCTTGCAAAAACCCAAGACTAAAAATCTCTGTTCAACCATATTTATTTATTTTTGTGGCTCTCTGGTCTGTGAAATTGGAGGGTTGCTCTAGGACCCAATACTGCTGGAATTTATCTGTTTAGAGAAAAATCTGGTTTAATCTATGCTTTGAAGAACAAAGCAGAACACACAAAAAATTATATGAATTGTGCAAAGAGATTATAAAGAAGAAAATTGGACAAAACAACGAAGGTCAAATTTGGGACATAATCCAACATTGTAAATTTGTGCTTATGGACCTAAATGTTTCCTCTTTAAGATCAACAGTTGTGTCTGTGAGGGCCTGGTGTGTGAAGGAAGCCAGCCTGCTGCAGCTGCGCCTCTTGGGAAAGGAGCAGTTTCCCATATAGCAGCTACTTACAGCCTGAAAAGCAACACTGAATGTCTTCATCTCACAAATGCCAACACACGTGGGACTCCTTTCACAGAATAGTCTCTACTGAAAGCAACGCAACTGGGCAGAAAGTTAAAGCTAAGCGTGTGGGTAAGCAATTGCAAGTTCACAGTCGACAGGCCCTGTATCCCTATAGGCACAAAACCTTATGTCTCTAATTAAATTAACTCATTTATACCTGTGGGAAAATCCCAGCCCAGTATCACAGAGTGCGCTGCACAAACAAACACACTGACATTCATAACAACTGATGCGTTAACTGGGATTTGAATAGAATCATTTAAGCATTAATAACATTTCCATCTCTGGAGGTCAAGTCTTTTCACTCCCGTGCATTTTGACATCCATTAGTAACAGAACATATTCCTAATAGAAACCTAATTAAAGTCAACACACCAAACATTTGTTTGCATATCTCCAGAAGCTGGAGATACAATTAAACCTACAGTATTGTGAGAGTCTAGCATATACAACAGAATCTTAACATCTAGGGTCAAGACAGTAAATATACCTTCTTAAATATTACACATACAAAATGCAATACTGGGTGAGATCAACAATGATGCTCCCAGGGCAGACACAGGGCAGTATCCTCTCTCCTTCAACAGCAGCTTTGGGAGGAAAGCTAAAGAACCTCTCTAGATGAGAAGCACATCCTCAGGAGATCACCTACTGAAACCCCAAGAAATTAGTTGTGCTCAGAAACATGATTTCCTTATTTTCATATTTATCAAAGGTAGTCAGGTAAACTGAAGGTCAGGGAAGATAAGTACTCCTGGCCTACAGATATACAGAATTTTTTTGTTGTGATTTTTTTAATGGGAATTTTTGTTCTTTTTTTTTTTTTTTAATAGAAGTTAAACCATAGATATGGTTTCAGTGAAATTAAGACTTAAGTTAAAATACAGCTATATGTGAGAACAGAGTAATAAGCAATTTGCACTTTTCTTATTCTGGATGTTGATTTTCTTATAGGGCTGTACATCAGAGTCTTAAGTGCACAATTGGGATACTGGTGAAGGCTAGTTCAGAAAAAAAGAGCTGTTCCTAGCACAGTTATCTGTGGTAAACATGGCAGAGGCTAGTTTGAAAATTAATGTGTTTCAACAGACAGAGAAGATGTATAGATGCATATACAAGACAATTCAGAATAGCATACCTATAGGCTGCGAAACAGGGCCTCTAAGTAGGTTGGAAGAAAACAGATGCTTCTCTGCTGCAGTGAAAAAACACCCTCAATATTATAAAAAGATGTATAAAAGAAGCTCAGGGACCAATTATTACTTGAAAGATAAGCAGGATGTTTTGAAGAATGGCTCAAAGCATAGAAGTGTCTAAATTCCTTATCTTCCAAAAGACCTTGGCGGGGGGAAGAAAGACTATCATGACCTAATTCCTTGTTTCCAGAAGGATTTTTTTCCTTTTCCCCCTGACAGAAGCCTGCCTAGTCACTGCAAAATGTAGCATTCAAGGAGGACTGTATTTTACACAGACTTCTAGAAAACAAATAACGTGTGTCACCATATAACAAACTGAGGAAATAATGCAGCTGCTAGCTCCTGACAAGTGGAAAATCTCTGGTTACTAGCAACGTATATCATCCAGTGTTATTTTTCAGACCCTCTACAGTTCACCCTGTGTGACTCCATATAACAAACTGAGGAAATAATGCAGCTGCTAGCTCCTGACAAGTGGAAAATCTCTGGTTACTAGCAACGTATATCATCCAGTGTTATTTTTCAGACCCTCTACAGTTCACCATATGGTCTCACAAATGGCTGCACCAGCATAAGGAGGGAGTGGGTGCAAGGGGGAAAGTGGAATTGCTTCTTTCGAGTGATTTACAACATTCATTAGAATTATAGGCTAGGATACGTAACACCATTTCCTTGCTGCCTTCCTTTTAACATGTCCATATATTTACACTTTTTGGCTCTAATCTTCAAGCAGCAGTTGCTTTAGGCCACCAAAGGCTGACCCCACATTGCATCTACTAGGATGGTGGCCAGTAGCCAGTACTATGGGGAAAGAATGTAAGAAATATGACAAGTTTAAAATTACCCTTCCTCCATCAGCTTCCAATAACCAGTAGTTTAGAAAGATTCTTCACGCAGAGTTCACTAAAACCATAAAAGAAACACAATTGAAATATTGATCTTATAGTTAACCGCTACTTGGAAGAGAGTTTTAAGTTAGAAAAACCCAAACTTATAAATATATCTAAAATATAGATCTGAACGGCACCAGCATGTCATATAGCAGTAATTATCGCAGTTCACAAATACAGATGTATTTCACCACTCTGGAGTAATTATTAAAAAGCAAAAACAAACTCCCAAACCAAAAGAGTTACACTGAGGGAAAAGTAGCCATGGTAAAGCAGCCCCCAAGCAGTGGAGAAGCCATGCCTCAGAGCCACTTAAGCTGTCCCAATTTGGCTGCTGTCCCAGAGGGACTCATCACCCACACCACCTAGGTCAAACTGACAGCACAGATAGTAGAGAAACTTCTCTCCCACGCACACAGTTATTAAACAATGATCAGTCTAGCTGCTTATCCAGGAAGATTCAAAAGATCTATCGTGTAAAATAAAAGCCCATTGTTCCCGGCTTTTAATAATAATTCTCTGAAAAGCATCTCTAACGATCATGACGGCGCAGGCTTTATGGGAGAGCTAACCATGGAGGACAGACCATACATCTTTGGCCTGGGAAAAGCTGTGGAGCGTTTCTTCCTGGACCCACCGATAAACTGGAAGAGCAACTTTGGTTTGGGAGACAAGCAGCTGGAGAGGGGAAAAGTAGGAGAATATCACAAAGGTTTTCAAACCTGTTAAGATAATGAATTAGAAATATCTGCTTGCTATTTGCTGCAATACAGCAGCTCTCAAGGGTCTCTCAGACACAGAGAGGCCTCCACCATCACCAGGAACGTGCAAAACCTCATAACTATCCAACTTAATGGTAACTCTACGCTTGCCTTCCTCTGCCTCCTAAGAACTAATGTCCTAGGGTTTCTGTGGGTGTTCAGTCCTAAAGCCTTCCCCAAAAGAATGAATTTCTTCTCACCCATCAGTACGTTGGCATACATAAACAGGAGCAGGCACATTCGAAATCAGCAGAAATCGGTACCTGTTATTCAGGGATATTAGTGAAAAAGGGAACAGGAAAACCACATAAAACTTGCTTTCACCAATTGCCCTTTGCTCTTTTTCTTTGCTTTTTTTTTTTTTTTCACTCAAGTACAAATAATGCTTTAATGTTTTCCTTGAGACAAACTATTCTGAGAAATGTTTATGTAGTTAAAAAGAAATTCCCTGCTTCGTGAGTAGCTGGATGTTTAGACAGTCTGATATAGGAAACATTATACTGTCTCTGCCGAAGCAGTCTGTAGGAAAGTTTGATGCAAGATCAGCTTCCTGTTCCAGTCATGTCACACTGTAATTTATAATAGTAGACAATGAGGTAGCAGCTCAGATGGAAGCATCATGCCAAAATAGAGGGCACAGACATTGCAAATAGTACCATTCACAGAGCACCAGTTTGCAAGCTTTTGGGGGCTGGTTTGTTTGTTTTGTTGCCCTTTTTTCTAAAAAAAAAAAAAATAATAAAAAAGAGACCATAGAATAGGAGTGCAGACCTCAAATCCTCCCACTTACTTGTAGCAGAATGATTGATAGTATCTCTCAGACCTTAATCCAGACCACAAGTCCACTGTATGAGGTGCTCTACAAACAATGCAGTCCTTTACCTTAACAGGAGTCACCTTTACCTTCTTACCTGCAAAAGTCATCCACGTGTGGTTATTTTGCAGCCTGAATCCCAAGCTGTGCAGGAGAGACCTAGTGTTTTCTCCACTGCTGCAGATGTTCCAGATCTTCATCCAAGCTCTCTTCAGGGCCTAATTCAACCAAGTATTACACTGCCTAGTACTGCTAGTAAACATAAAAATTTTATTCAGACACCCCCACCTTATTCCCTGTGGCAATATGAAACAAAGTTCCCCCATCTTCATTTTCATCTCCAGTTTGATCAGTTTTAGCTTGGATAGATCTGTGGAAATGAGTAAGAGTAACCATAGCCATTTACTACTGACCGTAGTGCCAGGTAATGCTCGATCACCATCCAAACAGGAAACAAAACACATATTTCATTTTTGAAGTAGCATTTTATTTTTGGTTAGCTTTGCACATGGAGCTTCAGCCTAGTTAGCACAAACTGTGCACTGCAGGTAGCTGTAGGGACAGGAACGTTTGCATGCTATGCCTTTGCAACGCCACCGGCTCTAGAAAGCACCACTTTACACACTTTTCAAAACACCAAACAAACAAAGTAGTATTTGCACAAGAACATTGCATTATAATGTATGTAAACCTTTGCAGCATTACTCATAAATACAGCACTTACCTTGCAATGTTAGGCCATATCCCTACAAGGTAACTCGTATTATGTGAGAGCTCTCTGAATAAGGGCTTGCTGTGTTTGTAAGCCAAGGTCTGCTATGAAACCCCCCCGTGCCTTCTACAAAACTGCATCTTGGCCTTCGAGCCAAGTGCTGGTTCTGCTTGAATCAACACAGGCCAGATATCCACATACAAGTTGCACCAAAGAAAGAATTTGCCCAAACCACAGCTGACCTTTCAGCCTCATACAACGTGCTCTTGGTGTTGTTCTCTGACAATTCCAAGCAATCAAAACTTCCCCAAATGAACTCTGGTTATGGTCACCTGCTTTAATACCAGGGATCAGACTTTCTCTAGGACACAACACAGGTAACTCCTCTTGAAATTAAGAAGGGTTGCAGGGAGCTCACTGCTGTTGAAACCAGACAGCAGGAGCCAGTTGTGTTTTTTTTTTTTAGGGAGCTGAGAAATGTGTTCCTATTTTTATATTAAAAGTTCAAATTTAAAAACATCACCCTAGAGATTTAAATTGCTGGATCCTCCATTTGCACATACTCCGTATGTCAAAACTTCAGCTTTTTAGGCTGTGGCTGGGTCGACACTAGACTTGATTAGTCACAATGCTGAAAGCCCTTCACTTCTTGCTGTTTCATGGCCTCTTCATCAAGTACCTTCCAGTAAGATCTGCTTGCAAGTCAGAGGTTAAATGTGGTCTAGACAAGGTCAGACAATCAATGCCTGCTATAGTCTTGTAGGGTTTTACATTAGTTTCAGGCTTTTTTCCTGTAAATTAATTTCTATTTTAAATAGCTTGGTTGAACCCGTATATATGTATCTTTAAACTTCTCTTAAAAGTTCTCCAAATCCAAAACAGAGTTTTGGAATTAATTTCTCTCAGTGGCATAGCAGTTAGAGAGGGGTGACCACAACTGTTTGGTGCTATCTGGAAAAGTAAGAAAGGAGCACAACGAACACAGCCACGCTGCTCTTCTGTTGATCCACCCTCAACATCTGCCCACACAGCAGCAACAAATCTCCTTGCAGCATTTACCCGCTACAGAATTAATAATGGTTTTTGTGCTTTTTGTACTCTCAGATCCTGACAATCCACGGTTGGACACACTCATGCACACAGGTATCTGGTCTGGGCTCCCCATCACAGCCAGGTTTCTGGCATAGCTTTAATAAACCATCAAACTACCTATTTCAAAACCAAGACCAGGAGGAAGAGAGAAAACGGGTCACAATTCTGTCCAACCAAACCTAGGATCCTCCTCAAGATGCACAAAAACAGTTCAAAGCATTAATACTCAATGAATGCCAAGCCTGCATGGTAAGGGAGGTTTCCTCTCTCTGTAGGAGCTTAAGAAGGGTCCCACTACACTGCCTACATTTTGCTTCCATGCACAAAAACTCTCTGAGATGTATTTATTCCATTCATATGAAAACACAATTTCATGTACTTAAAAGAAAAAAAAAGGAGTAAGATGGCAGCACAGAAGGTTTTCTTCATTACAAAGTGTTTTTCCATCAGGCAATTATTTATAAGAACTTTTGTTAACACTGGAGTTTAGGCTCTGGAACAAAGTGGATATATTGTTTACTAGCTTTGCCAGTCAATCTTCTCATACAAAACCTCTCCCTTCCCCCTCTCCTTTTCCAGCCAAGTCAGTCCCTTGAATAGCTCAGGAGTTTCCTTTGCCACCAAGATCTCCTTTTCCACAAATTGTCCCTTGAATAATGCCATCTTCAATGTAGTTCCCTGAGGTATCCGTGCTCCTGCAGAGAACTGTTGAGGGGACCCGCGATGAGCGTCTGTCATGGCTTTTATCCTGAGAGGAGCAGCAAATCATCCTTTTCATGGTACTCCACATCTCATCATCTTTGTATGAATAAATTATTGGATTCATGACAGAGTTCATCAGGGCCAGGAGAAGAAACCACCTTTTAACATTCTGAATCCCACAGTAGGTGCAGTTCAGACCATCGAGCAGTAAGACAACCAGGCCAGGGGTCCAGCAGACAACAAAAGCACCTAGGAATAAAAGAGACAAAAAGACTTCAAACTGCTAGGGGTTTGGGGTTTTTTTTGACATCTTACAAGACTAATGGGTTCATCAAAATTCTACACAGAAGTGATAAAAGCAGGAGAGGACAAAATTCTAATGACAGTAGCAAAATTATATCTACTACAGCTTCTCTGCCAAGCCCTGAGCATGAAGCAGGGCAGCTCTCAGAAGTCTGCGGGGAGCAAGAATCCAGCTGCTGACAGTATCAGCTCAAACATGAGTGGGGAAAGGTCATCGCAACAGTGATTTATCCACGCTGATAAATAAACAAGAGCTCTGGAGCATCAACAAGCAGAAAAACGGGAGCTTTGAACACAGACTTCCTTTCTTCATCTCTCTCTCGTATGCTGGAGGAGAAGATACCAGGTGGCCCACTTCCACCACTGCCACTAGATGACCCAAAGGAAAAATGTGACTGCTGTCACACTACAGCTGACTCTGCAAAGCTGTGGGCACACCGCCCAGTTCATAGAACAAGAGTCACATCATTTAAACACGTCCTGCCTGGAAACCCCAGGGCTAGCGTAGGATGCACGCTGCTTTCGGTGACACACCAGCACGGCGGCTCCCCCGCCGGAGCAGCAGCCCACCTCCCTCCTCTGCTCCCCCCCGGGCTGTGCCTGCTGCGTGCGTGAGACCAAACCACTCGGACCCAGGACACAAATTCAGTTGTAAATGAAAAGAGAGAAAGAAGCAAAGATGAGTTAGCAAAGGTGAACCAGAAATCTAGCAGTCAAGGGAAAGAACTAGGGCAAAGAACTGAAGCAAAGAACAGAATAAAAAGCAAAAAAAAAGACGAAAAGGATGACAAAGTATGACAGCAGTGATGGGGAAGCAAGAAAACTCTGCAAGAGAGGCATTTCCCCCTGTTTCCCTCAAAGATAGCAAGAAACCACAGGACAAGCCCAGGAGCAGCAGGTTTCTCCTCATGTTTCATCTGGGAGGCAGGAATGACAATAGCCCCTGTGAGGAGGAAATGAGACACAAGATGACAATGAAAGATGAAAGAGGCAAAGGAGGACAAGACATTCCTCTCCCACCAACCCCTCAAAAAAAGGAAATAGGAGGGGACTAAAGGAGAAGATGTATTAGACGGAGTGAAGACAACCTGAAGAAAGCATCACTGAAATCACAATGTAGAAGAAAGTTCAACATTGTGCTTGTACCTTTCCATGTCATTGCACATCCCCACCATACAGACAGGGCTGTGGGCAGCATTGGTGGGCAGGGGGAGCATCGTGGCTGAACACAGCCCACGGCCAAAAGCTTGGGAGGGGCCCTGAACTGCCCCCTCTGCCTTCCAGCCCCCCCCCAACACCACAGCCCGCCACCCCTCGCCTTGAGCACAAGGAAGGAGTAGCCCTATGCATGATAATACTAACTTAGCACAAGCCACAATTGCTGTCTGACATACAGAAATAGAAAATTACAACTCTGCGTAACAGTCACAGTTTGAACAACGTACTGAGGAAATTCCAATCATTTATAACGGCAGTTTCCCCTTTTTCAGGCTTAGAAAAAACAATCAAACAAATAAGGATGATATCAGCTACATGCTGAAAAGCTCTCCTGGGGATGTTGGTTTCTGTTCAACAGTTTTGGTAGGGAAAGCAAATCCAGCTCATTTTTTTTTTTTTAAAGCTGCTGGTTTTCCCATATCTGCGCTGTGCCAGCAAGAAGCAGGAGGGCAGCCCCGCTCATGGCAGGACCCAGGCAGTGCTGGATCCAGGACTTGGCAGCATCTTGGGCATCCCATGGGCTGTGCTGCACAGGGGCTGGGTTCAGCAGCGCTGGACCCAGCACTTCTCCCCATCGAGGATGTTAATGGATACTGTGCCTGTCTGTTGGGTAGGTCATAACGGTGTATAAAATGAATTCCTGTGATTTAGTGAGCATTAGGGTTGCTGAAAAATGTATCCAAGGCCATGGATCTTGCTGTGAATCTATGCTCCTGGAGCCCAGACAAAATTCACCCATATGATTTACTATGTTCCAGGCAATATTGTACAGAACAAAAAAGCAAGAGGCCACCTAATTCAGAAACATTTTCTGCTCTGCTGTAGCAGGATTTTTGTGATGCTAAGTACTAATTTCATGGTGTTAGTTTTGAGATACTGGTTAAGATCAGTAAAATTCCTCCATTGCCCACTGGCATCAGAAGCTGCAAGCTGCTACCACAACACTTGTTTTTCTCTGGTCGGTCTCTATACTACACACTGGTTTGGCTCCAGCATGCTGAGTAAGCAGCTGGGACACCAGCTCTCTCTTACAGTCTGCAGTGGGGAAAACACCGTACCGATTCATTGCCCTGGGGTTCACCAGCAAATCCCATCCGTTTTAACATGCACTGGAACCAGACCACCCAGACAACACTACTGTGTCTTGCTGAGTGTCTCTGTAAGTATTTGGACAGAGAGCTTTTGCTAGCCACCAAGGGTCACTGGCACAGTCGCCAGCTCACCAGCTCCATCCAGAAATTAAGACGGTAACAAACCCTCCTTGGAACAACCACTGAAAGCATTTTGACCACTCATACCACAAAGAATGCAAGGTCCAGCCCTGATTTCATTGAAGTCAGTAGGAAAGGAAACAGATCCCAAAGCCACTTTTAACAAAAGACACAGAAATCTCTCCATCAAACAAAACCCAAAGATTGCAGGCAGGATTAGCCCGTGAACTCCCAGGGCATATCCCTATCTAGCTATACAGGCAAAACCCCAAAAGGTTTCAGTGGTAAAAGTAAGGCAAGATAAAAGGTATCTGCAGACATCTCTTTGCACATTTCCCCCACCTCACGACTGAAGGCACAACAGGGGTCAATGCAGTGACAGTGTCAGTGTTACTGGCTAATGCTTTCATGGGGCTGTGGCTTTGACTCCATCAAAAATACATTTTGCTGTGTATGGAGACAACATGAGTGATTCACACCCTGCTCTTAGCACCGCAGAGATGAAAGTGAGGCACGGCTCAGACTCCCAGCTTTGCTCAGATTTTGCTATTTTTAACCACAGGGCTTTCAGAGGGAACCATGGTTAAGCATAAATATATACCTTTGTCTTGGCCCTTTGGTGATTTTCTTATTTGCAGACTTCTTATCCCATAGGCGCTCCTCTCCCTGACAAAGTGCCACACTCCAAAAAGAATTTAATTTCTGAGACTCTCTAAACTTCACAGAAGTGACATGGAATACAGCTTGGCTGCCACATGGATCAGAAGAACAGCTGAGTCTTCCCACTGGAATATGGGAGATCAGGTGTCACAATGCCTCAAGGTTAATTTGCTGATTTTCCATTAGATTTGAACATGGGTTTTCTTGTAGATTACATAATCTCTGCTTGAAAATTAATTCCTGTGTACCTAGAAGCACTACTGATGCTTCGGCAGCATGATATCATAAAACTCTGCACATCAAAGTTGTCCCTGAGCATGCTAATGCTGAGAAATAAAAAAAAAAACAAAACAAAACAAAAAAAAGAGTGCAGTTGCTTCCAGTTGCCTTTGCCACATGTGCGCCCGAGTTAAAACAGCAAGTTACCAATTAAACTATAAATTCACTGAAACTGAAAATCATCCGCCCCAAAGCTGCTATTTCAGCAGGAATCTCACTGCCAAGTTCAGCTGAGCTGCCATATACACACCACCTGAAAATCAAGTACCCTCACACCTGCAGCCACCCGTCTTCAAAGTCAGAGGCTTAGCTTGGGCCATGCCACAAGCTCAGCCTCTTTTGCTAGGTTTCACATCATCCAGTTTCAACCAGATAACTCCCTAGGGTTTAGCGTGCCAAAGAGAAAACCTTGTTCCTCCTGTCCTGTGATGGATCATTTTAGAGATTATGGTGGAAAAAGGTAGATGACAAAGACCTGCCCAGCCTCTGTAAAGGGCCATCCAAGCCCAAAGGGTGGTACAAAAAGCCACCTGTAGCTGTGATCACCATGTACCCATGACATCACACTGAAACCCAGATTCCCCCAACTCTTAACTGTAGGAGCACAGGAGAAGAACACCTAGAGAGGACAGCAATGTTTTGCTGGAGGGGCAACCAGCCACAGGCCAGCATCCCTGGGACAGGAGGTAGAGGCAGGCAGGAGGAGCAACATGCCATCAGCACACACGGCCTCCATCCACACAGGACAAGGGCAGCAGGATTTTGTCCTGAACCTCCCAAGAAACCAAGAGAGCATGTTAATGAGAACTCTGGTGCTCATTATGCTTCATCCAGCAATAGACCACCTTGGAATGGCTTTCAGTCAAGACCATATCTAGCATGTGCTCCAAAGCACTTTCAGGTGTTTTCGAAGATATCATTAAAAATAACTGCCTTGGGCAAAAACCACGTGCTGCATATAGCTATAGGTTGTTGCATCAGTGGATGTAAGTAAATTTTTGAAAAATCACTTTGGTCACTTGGTGACTCCTTTGGTACTTGGAAAGCCCAGAAAACGTGCTATCCATTTTCAGATACATTTTGTACAGCATGCTTGAATGACTTGATCAGGAATGCACACTCCAAAATGTTTCAAAAAATAAAATTCTCATTCCTAGAAATAAATGTTTATAAAAAGCATTTCAGAGTCAAAATTTGGAGAGTTGATATGAAGGAACATGCCAAGACAGATTTCCTCTGACACAGGAGTCAAGAGTAGATCTTGCACCCAACAACACATGAACTCGTTCAACTTCTTTGGAAGAAAAGCTTATGGTTTGGTTTTGTTTCTGACTGGCAAAGTAAATATACAAAATTATGATCTCTAAAGGAGCACTCAGGCTTTCTAAGTTAAATTTGCCTGGTCCAGCACACAGTATCATTAAATGCTTTACCCGAATTATAGTTTAATCTGGTGGCTGAATAACCGTATTCTACAAGTAAGAGAAAACTACTGCTGATCTTTAAACCAACCCGTATTCCTAAAGCCCCTTTCCCTAGTAAAAGAAAGAATGAGTTGAAAATGAAGTTTAGACTGGGATTTACCTAAACATAGCAGCACAGCTGCGGTGAGCACTAAATACCTGCCACAGGCTAAAGGACCACGAGGCATTAGCAAACAGCAGCCACCATCACTGTCCTTCCACCTCCCACATCAGGTGGCTGGTGTCCTCTTCCCCAGTACAAAGACCACCTGTCTGCTCTGCCCTGCAAACAGCCATGGGTGGCACTGAGAGTTAACAGTGCTATTCCAACACTCACTCAGCACCCTCCAACTTTGGCTTATACAAAACTAAAATAATATTAACTATATAAAGACGTGTAAGTTAAACAAGGCTCTGCATATTTATTTATTTGCACATGATTTCCTAGAAAGCAGCCTGTGGTTCTGCCTTGCATAGGGAATGCTTAGAGAAATAATTTTTTTAATTGTTTTTCTTTTTGTCTCTTTCCAATGCAGGGGTTAACTACAGCCCACCCAATGCTTATGCTTTAGGGCAGGATCATGTTTGGAGCAATTTAAAATTTTTCTGCAGGGATTTTCTACTTCCAGGTGGATGGTTTAAGTTTCATTGCACAAGAACTTCAGGGGGAACAAAAGATCGGATCTTGCTCCTGCAAGTAGAGGGGGAGACAGAAACAACCAACACATTATCTCTACAGGTGCCATAAAAGCCAGGGAGGGAAAAGGAAGGACAACTAGGGAGGGATTTAGAAGGCAAAGGCTCCAGCAGTGGACAAGCCAGCTTCAGGAGACACCTGAAGCTTGTACTAGAGATCCAAGGCCATACTGTATCACCATCTGAAAGTATTTTGCACCATGCAGCTTTCACAGAAAGAAAGTGAATTCTCCTTTTGCAAAGCAAATCTCTGTCAAAGTCACAGACCCGCCAGGCATCTTTTCCCTTCTCCAGGGAAACTGTGGCTCCAGGGGGAAGAAGTTAGTTTGTTTAGGAAACAGCCAAGAGGAAGAAGGGCAAAGATAACTATCCACATCCAGCCATAGGATTCATGGCCTTGTGCAGGTATTAGAGAACATTATTTTGAAAATATTCTATTAGGTAGCTGTGAGTCTTCACAAGCCTTCCTCCAAAGTGATTTTGTATATCTTCCCCGAACCCCCCCCCAATGAACTCTAGATAATTTGTGGTTTGTAGCAAGCTGCCTACCAAACAGAGACGCTTTTCTTCTTCACATTGGCTGGTCTTCTCCTTCACATTTCTGCTTGGTAAACACTTATTTCATTATCTAAAACAGACCGGAGACTAAATGATTCCAGCACTTTTAAGTTTGATGAGGGTCTTCTGTTTTGTTTTGAGGGGGTGGCTTTTGTTTGTTTAAAAAAAAAAAAAACACACAAAAAACCACAACAACAACAAAAAACCCCCACACAAACCTGTTGGTTGGCACTGCCAGCCTTGCACACCATGGTTTGTAGTCTCTTACCTAAGAGAGTCATAACAGTCTTCATAAGCTTCACAGGAGTTTTCCTACGGCTAATGGAGCCACTAGTGTGCGACGACAAGACGTTAGTTTTCCTCTGGACATACATGTAGATTCTTATGTAAACCACCACCATAATGAAGAAGACAACTAGGTTTAAGATGCTCCAGAACACCAGGTAACTTCTGCTGTAAATAGGGGCCAGGGATGAGCAGGCAGTAATGTCACAGAGGCAGTTCCAACCCAGGGTAGGAACAGCACCCATGAAAATAGCTATGGCCCAAATTGATATAATTAAAAAGGTCACTCTCTTCTTCGTGAGATTACTGTGGATCTTCATCCGCATTATAGACATGTGCCGCTCAACAGCTATGACGAGGAGATTCACCAGGGAGGCTGTCAGGCTGGTGTCCAGAAGACCCTGACGCAAAAACCAGCGATTAACAGTTAATGTCTTTGATACTGGGCCAGTGTTGAACATCAAGAAGACATAGGCAATTCCAGCAAAAAAGTCTGCAGCAGCTAAATTGGCCAGGAGATAGTAAAAGGGAAAATGAAACCTCTTGTTCTTGACCACAGCTGCTATGACCAATGAGTTTGAAATGAAAATGAAAAGGCAGAAAAATGTCCCAAAACACAGAACAACAATAAGCTTTGGCCCTGTCCACTCATCTACTGTGTCAGTGTTTGTCTTGTTATAAAAAAAGTCCATGCGCTTATCATAGTAGCATTCATTCATCCTGGATTAAAGCCCCTGCATCCTAGGGAGAGTGGAAGGGAAAAAAAGAAAGAAAGATTAAAAATCAACTATTGGTCCTTGCTTCAATCACCATACCCAATTTATTCTTTTTCTGGGGGAGGGGAGACAAGACAGGATCATGAGGGGGTATATATTTGGAGGCCTTAAGTAAAAATTCATATTGTGCAGAGTTAATGCAGGAGGAGGCATTCTGCCCACTGGAGGACTGCAGTGCACGACATTTCGATGAATCAGAAATTTTCAAAAGACTTACCTGCTTACAAAACCCCAGCGCAGTCCCTTTGCACCAGCAGTCATATCATACTGGCAAAAAAGTGGAAGCTAAGAGGTTAAAAGTGACTTTCTTGAGGTCACAAAGAAAATCTGAGCAACAGCCAAGCCATTCTTACTGTGAAGTCTCATGTTTGAGCCACAGCCCCATCATTATTTCCATTTCTCAATGTATCCAGTCAGGACAGTGAAGCATAAATCATAACTCTTCCATTGTACTGACTAAGCAATAAAAGGCTGGTTACCGGAAAAATAGTTTTTGGGTTTTCAATTATATATTAATAAAGACAATAATATATGTATGTAAGATGCTCCAGGCATATCTATTCTGAACACATGCCTGTTATTTACTGCTACAGGATTTAAGTAAATGTGCTGAAAAGGGAAAAACATATTCTACATTTTTGACTACTGTGGAGCCAAGGATTATTTTATGGGGCTGTCAACCCAGAGCCCTGTGAACACCACACAGCCCAATTATCTTCAAAGCCAAAACACGGCTCCCTACCCAACCACAGGATAAAGCAAGCCCCAGCGACAGCAGTAGTGCTGGGTTTTTTTTTCCTTATACCCACTCAGCACTATTTTGGACACGGGGCTATTAAACATGATGGAAGGGGGAGTCTGTGTTCCAGATTACATCACACTTCAGCTACTCCAGTGAGGTCAATGGCAGCTGCCTCGGCAATTTTACTGCCTTTATTACGAACCTGAATTTAAACTGAACTCAAACTAATTTACTTGGGCAGCTCTGACAGCAATTACTTGTGACCAAACGCCATGCAGGGTCTCACAACCTAGTAGGAAGGGTTTGTGTCTTATCGTCACGAGCCCTCACATTTGCTGTCAGTATCTGAATAAGGGCTTTAACAATGACTTCATTAGTAGATAGTGCATAGGAAAACCTAGGAACCCAACCATGGCACAAGATCCTAATCACATCAGATATTATGCAGAGAGGCAAACCTGTGCTTGACTCTAAGGGCAGTGAGAAGGAAGTATCGGGAAACAAAGCTGCAGGAGAGGCAGCCACTTCTTTTACAAAATGATATATTACTTAAAACATCAAATTCAAGTACAGAGTCAGAACAAAGAACAATTACTTAAGGACAAGAAGTGGAAGGAAACAAGTAAATCATACCTTGTGCTGAAATACTACAGAGCATCCCTTCATCTAAAAATAAAAGAGCCTTAGCAACTCAGGTCCACCATAAGGAGTCAACCGGAATTCAACGCCCACCACTCCCTGTTCAGGGCAATATGATAGTGTTGGGCAGTCTGTACATTCCCCATTCTCACCTAGGAAGTACTCAAAAGTCAAATTAAGTCTCTCAGTGACCAGAAGTCCCTGAGAAGCTGCAGACAACAGCTAACCAAGCAGCTGAGTGGTGGGTACCCTGCCAGCCAAGATGGCTCTGCTCTTACCCACCAAGGCAGTAAAGGACTTGCTGAGCTTGATATGAAGCTTTTACAGACGAGCCCAAATGCCTGCAAATAGAAGTAGCATTTTGGGCAGGAATGGCAGAAAAAGAAAAAAAAAAATCTGTGAAAATTATAGGGAATTTTTTCTGAACATGTTGTATCTTACTATGTAATCATCTCAACAGATGAATCCCTTTCACTTGCAGTGACAGGAGAGTAAAGAGATCTGCAGATACTTTTTGCAGTTCATCCAGAGAACAAGCTTAAAGAAATCCAAAATATCAACTATGAACTTATTCTGAATACTTCAGCTTATTAAGATCCCATCCCCATTTGAAACAGTACCCAGAAAAAAAAATAAGAAAATCACACATCCTTAATTCTCTACCAAAATAATCACACTACAAACACTCACTGTCACACAGCAGAGCTCAAATGACAAACGATTTTGAAAGAGATGTCTTGAAGTGTTGAGGTAAGGCAGGATGGAGCAGAAAAGCATCCAACTGAGGTCTTGGGGTCACAGGGCAGACTCTGGAGATATCCAAATGGAAGCTGCACCAAAGCTGTAGCTGAACTGGAGCTAGTTTGCATCCCAGTTCTTCAGAGCAGAGACATAGCACTCGGCTGTCTGTACCAGCCTGTGTGTAGAAAACTCCTGTCATGTGGCGGTCCTTCCAGACAGTGGTTTATTTCACACCTTCATTTTGTCCTAAGTCCTCAGCAGAACCAGCCTGGCCTCAGGGGAGCTGTGTAGCTGTGACAAAGCTCTGCAGCTGTATCCTCAGTGGTCCTGGCCGAGTCCACATCAGGCATGAGAGACGTGTAATAGGATATCCCATATTTCCTGGCATGTCACAGTTCAACACATTGCAGGACTTTATTCTCCAAGTCTTCTCTTCTGCAGCCGAATTAGAGATGTTTATCTTAATCACAGCAGGTTTAAACCTAAAAAGAAAAAAAAACCACCACCCTTAAATATTACATATTTCAGATTTGTTAAGTACACAAACTTAAAGACTCAGGCAAAAAAGTTTTAAAAATAATAGAAATTGAAACAGTAGAAAAACAGCTAAACTGGCCAGCCCAGCCTTGTAAAGACAACAGAGAGTCTTCCAGATTCTGCAGAGCAGAGAGCTCTCCAGCCCTGCTACTCCATGCAAAACTGCTTTCTTTTGCTTTGTAAGTGGCTCTCACAAGCTTGATATTTCTCATTTTTTATGGGAAAGGACAACAAACAATCTCCACTCACCTCTTCTATGCCACTCAGGATTTTATAGCCCTTCCAAAAGGGCTATGTAGACTTCCAAAAGCTTGATGGCAGTAACCACATATTGCATATTCTACAGACGGGTTGAGCTATTAGCTTGCCAAAGTCACTCACAAGCAAATGCATCAAAACTTTGCAAGTGCCAAAAGCATATCCTTGTCAAAAAGGTTATTTTCCTTATTTCAATCTACTTAATTATTTCAACCAATAGTGGCTGCAAAGATCAGAAACTGATGGACTGTGAAGTGTGTTTTGCTCTACCACTCTGAGTAAACACGAGCTTTGAGTGGGAGAAATCATCTGTTCCAAAAATCTCAAAGGATTTGGTTCAGTTAAACTGCTTTCAAATGCAAAAGCACGCATTAAGAATTCTTCCCAATCCACTACATCTTGAGCTCTGTTTGTCTTAAAGACAGCTTGCATATCTGAATTGATTTTAAGTTCCTCTATGTAAGCGCAACTTGCATCAAGTCAGATGCTCTTCACCATTTTAAAATAAAAGTCAAGAATTTGCATGAGTATATAGGATTATATTACACCAGCTACCCAAATAAAGTCAGTGAAATAAAACATCACCTAGATAATGTTTTAGACAAAAGCTTCAACTAGTTACAAGCTAACATACTTTAATAGTTGTTATTCAATTAAAATCTAGTTTACTTCCAGAAAGGTACTAAAAATCTGCATATTTATAATGAAATTTAATATCAGTTATTTAAATCAAGGATTTTTCTGATTCCAACTGTGATTAAAATCACCTTTGAAGTAACTTTGATTCAAAAATAAATTCGGCCTGTAAATCAGCTCTCAGTTACTCAATATTAATGCAGGCATTTCTGAAAGAAAACTCAAATAGCATTTTAATGAGAAAGTCATTACAAAATTTAGCTTGCAAGCCATAATGTGACTCATGGCACACCCCACTGATTTTCTGCCTCTTTCCCGTCCATTAAAAACCATTGTTTCAATACATTGGCCACAACCTTATTGAGGGGTTGGCGTCGGTTTGGGGGGGAGTTTGATGGCTTTTGCCCTGCTGCTGTGTGAATGCAACAGGGAGGGAGCCCACAAGTTTGGGCTGGCACCGTGAGCTACTGTGAGCAGGTTCAAGCCTAATTTGCAGCTGGACGGAAGAAGCCATAGAGCAGGGCTGAACCTGCAGGAGGACTACAGTGAAGCCCTATGACAGGACTGAAAGTTCGCCTGGGGGAGAGGCGAGGGAAGTTCGCCCAGGCAGAACCTGGTTTACTGCTGCTTTCCCTCAGCTGGCACAGGGATTTCTGTGCAGAAATGCAGGGCAGCTCAGCATCCAAAAGGATACTCCCTGGAACAGGAGGAGGGAACGCGGAGGCAGTACAGCCCGGTCAGGTCCGTGGGACGGCACGGAGGAGAGGGCAGTGCCCGGGCTCGGCCTGCAGCGTGGGCACACCGCCAGCCTGTGCCACAGCACTTCACCTCCCGGCTGCCCCCCATCCCTTAGCAAAGGCCAGGTATTAAATACACATCTCCGTCAGATATTTTGAAACTTATCACAAAAGCTGCTTTTCAGAAAGTAGAGTTTATCACACCGGCTGATCGCAGGCACCGGTGGCAGAGCAAGGAGGCAAGGTGCCTGAAATACTCTCTTTGCATTCAAACTGTTACTGTAGGGAAATACGAAGCAGCAGCAATTGCCCATCTGCACATACTGTTTAGGCTTCTTAAACTTATCCTACAAGCAGACAATGGCCCTTGATACAGGACCACGAAAGGAGGATATGGAGGCTTGCAAACCGTGCAGCTCTGGGCAAGGGCTCCCTGCAGCAGTGCTCTTGCCTGCACCCTGTGCCACAGGCAGATGTGAACACTCTCTGGCCCTTCCTCTTCTTCTGGTTAAAAAACTGCCACTACTTTTATTTTTCTAGTTTTTATAAAAGAAAAAAATAAAATAATAACTCTGTTCCTCACTCCACTCCCAGAGGAAGGTGCAGGCAGCAGAACCCAGCTCCAAGCTCTACAGACAAGTATGACCAACTCAGAAAGGGAATCGGTTCCTTGTTCCCCTCCACACCCCAGGTACATGTCTGGCCCCAGAGGAAAACAACAGCCACATGATTGCACAGTAACCCAAGAAACCCATTCAGGCTACCTCAGCTCAGAAAGAAACACCAGTGCAGAAGAGGGTGTGTAACACAGCAGAGGCCAAAAATGTTAATATGTAACTGTAAGAAGGAGTTTGTGAGGCAAGTGCACTGCTCTGCTTTTAATTGTCTTCAGCAGTTGATTGATATTATAACAAAAAGCAATTCAGAGAAACAGACTGAAAGGAAGCGCATAAGAAACACAAAATTATGCCCAAATATCTCAATCTAAGCTAAAACTTTTTTATCTGGCACCGTTAAAGGACGCAGTGGAAGCCAACACTTGTTTAACAGGTTTTACAGAGACAAATTCTCTCAGAAGTAACTGTTTCACATTTTGTTTAATAAGGAAAATCTGTGGGCTCTCCCTGTACTTGGAACAGCACGCAACATGGCCCACTTTAAATAACTGAGGATACACTTTTTTTAAAGCCATTTTTAAATTCAGCTCTACAAATTAGAAAAAAAAAATCTTATTAGTAAAAATCTGTAAGTCTCAACGGGTAAGTTTTTAATCCAGATAACTTTATTGGCAAGGGAATCTACTTCTGGCTGTGTTTGGCTACGTTTTTTTCTTTGTAGCTTAAGTATTCCCAATTTCAGATAATTGGCTGAACTCAAATCAAGCACGCACAAGCAGCATTATCCCATTATGTTGGTCTTCCACCCTTTTTAGATTAAGGAGAGCAGAGTGCCACATCAATTTCCACTCCAAGCCTGCTTCATCTCCATAATGTTAACTTGATGGAAAGTACAGCAAGGCTCGGAATTCCACCACGGTTCTGGTCATTTCCAGTAATAGTCCATTTTAATGGCATAATAATTTGGACTGAAAAGGAAAGGGGGTGGGGGGGCGGTGGTGGTGGTGAAGGGAATCAAGATGGTTCTATATGCGTGTTACATTTCAGAAGCATAAATCATTTGTCCTTGAATTACCTTTGACAACTCTTACATATTGGTGGTGGAAACGTCTACGGTTTTATTGTTTATCATGTAGCCTTGGTATTGTATGCAGGATATAGGGTACAAACAAACGCTCTTTAAAAAAGAAGTATTAAACCTACCAAAAACATAGAACCTCAAGACTAAATATTTAAGTTGCAGCGAAAGGAAGCAGTACCGCCAGCCATGGACCACAGTGCTCTGTACACAGACTGGTGAGAGGCTTAAAAGTCACTGTCAGGGCACAGAAGTGTCACCCTGTGCCTGTACGCTGCAGTTGGCATGGGCAGCTGGGCTGGGAAACACAGAGCTACAGGGGCACCTACACCCAGCTGTTACACAGCTCAGGCTTCAGCTCCTGAAACCCTGTAGTATAAAGCTACCCTGCTACACTAAATTACTTTTTAAAGCTCTGATCCGCTACAAAAAGTTGTTGGGGACGGATACTAAGTAACTCACTAGTTACCACAAGTTTAAACTTCAGACTTTGGTAATTTAAGACTTTCTGAAATTATGGTTTACTAAATCTATATATGGAGTTCAAACTAAAAACTTCACTGCAAAGCTTTCATTTAGTTTCCTTTAAGTGTGGTTCTGAAAGGAGCTGGCAGGTCATCCTATAATGCGGAAACAGACACAGCATTTAAAGTCTTTAAAAGCCATTCAAACAGCCTGTACATTGTGAAACATGCCTAGAAGAAAATACCTGTTCTGCTTCTAAACTAAGTTTTCCATTTCTGCAGAAATTCCAGGTCTGCTCATCACTATCAGCTCCATTTCACAGTTCAACAAGTCAGCTTTCTTTCACAAAACCTACAGAATGTGAATACAGTCTAATTTCAGCACAGTCACAACTAAGTGAACTTTAACTGTTTATTTGCGACACAGCTGGTGAGGACCTGAATCACTCCACTGCTCTTTAAAACAAGTCACCTGACTGTATCTGATCTGTTAATAGACTCAGAGCCCTGGTTTGCAAGCAAACATTTCCATGGAACTGGTAGAAATGGTGGGCTCCAAGAAATATTTGCTAGAGACATGGAAGTGGAGCTAATAGCTTAGAAGTAGAAGCCAGGTACGTAAATCTTTAATACTCAAGAGGAATATATTCTCTACAACGTCAAACTTTATACTTCAGAGATTCTATTTTATTGTCTGATAGCATAAAGATTGTGCTGGAGGATGTTGCAACATGGTTAACAGTAATAGTAGCATTGGAAGATATGGATACGGTCAACACAATTTGTCTGGAACTATCAGCTGGCATTCTGCAAAAAGCCAAATACATCTTTCACCTTTAGTTGCTGATAAGAGCTGCTGCACCTTTACTGATTGCACAAATTAGGTTGGTTTTGTTTTGGGCTTTGTTTGGTTTTTTGTTGAGTTTTTTTTAGATTAACTTCATCTTCAATACACAGATAAACTTAGTGAAATCAAACTTTTCATCATATAGCTGGATTTGAGTTGTGCTTCCTGCTACACCTCTTAGAAGACCATAAGAACATGCAAGAAACTACATACTCTGCACAGCTTAAAGAACAAAGCTACAGCAATGCACCTTACCAATCTGTCACAAGAAATGTCTTTTTCTAGATTTGTATTACAGAAGGAAGAACAGATCTACCTACATGACCTCTGGAAACACAAAGGTACAAAAGTGCACTTAATTTTTGCTGAAGGGGAAAAAAAACTAATCAAAAGATATAATGCAAAACAATGTCATAGGATTTTTCAGTGTATCGCATAAATTAAGACGATGCCTCATAAAAAAAACTGCATAAAAGAATCTGTGCCCCCGCCCCGCCATGCGCTATAAACTTTTTACCAGTGCCTCAGCAGGGCCAATCCAGATGCCCCAATCCAGAGATGTGCAAACCGAGTTTCCAATACACAGAAATTCACCCGTGCACAGGTAGGAAGCAGCTGTGTCTGTAGGAAGCGTTACCTGTCCCTACAGACAGAGCCGCACAGGTGTCACGCAGCTGCAGCCCCACCAGAACCGGGGCTGTGCCTCCGGGGGGGCAGCCCCCAGAGAGGCCGAGCCTCACCCCACTTTCTGCTCACCGGCAAGGGGAGGGGGGGAGCTGGCGAGGGGGCTCCAGCATCTGTGAAACGGGTTTAACAAAACTGCCGAAAGTTTCGTCCTGCCGGACGGCTGGGAAAAAAGTTAATAAATCACGCAAGTTCATTCGAGTCCGCGATAAAGCTCTTCCCATCGCCGGGCCCTTCCCGAGCCGCCGCCGGCCGCCCCACCGCCCCGGCCTCGCTGCGGGTGTCCGGGGGGGCTCTGCCCCGTCCCCCGCCGCCCCACTCACCGGCAACCTCCGGAGCTCCGCGCCGCCG